ATCAGTCAAAATGCCTCAATACCTCAGGTATCATTGTGCTTTAGTATGTTGTCATTAAAACTATCCTGAGTTTGTTGAAGCTTTGTTTGAGCTGGCTACCATTCCTATGTAGACAGAGCAATGTTGCAGTTGATTGCCACCTGGTTGAACTGTTTGGGAAACAATCTTGTGAGAACCATTGATTATTCCTGTCCAATTACTTAAATCAACTTTTATATGTCCCCTTACTTTATAACAAAGCAAAATATATACACAATACCCCCATACATTTTAATTCTGGCAGCTTTTTTTTTGCAACAATCAGCAGAAAGGAGGAGGATAAAGCTAAACAATTTCACCCATGCACTTAAGATTTAAAACATCCAAAAATACAGCTGTTTATAGGTCTTTTTTTTACAATCAAAATCAAATGAAGATCGATTTAGCACACCAAACAACAAGCATCAGCATGAAAGTGTGTCATTTTCAAAGCATTTATTCATGTATAATCAAAGTAGATTTTTTCTAATAAGGGCATCTAATTAAAAATGACCCTGCAGCTGACTGGCAACCTGTCCAGGGTGTCTTGTCTATCTTTTGCATGTAGACAGCTGGAGATAGGCAAGAGCATTCCTTGCGACTCCAGTTGGGATAAAGCATGATGGAAAATGAATGGATGGCTGGATAATAAAAAAACGAACCAATAAGCAAAATAGGTGTAAGTTCCAAATAAATGAAATTGGCCCTTACCTGCCCTGTACCTTGATATCAGATATAGCGTAGAAGTATCTGGATAGATTGTTCTCATCCACCATGGTGGCTCCAGTAGCTGGCTTTAGAAGTCTAATCCTTAGATCTGTGATTGTAAAGAAATCTCTCAGATTTTTAGTAGTATCAAGCTGGCCGTAGAGTGAAGCCATATTGTGTAGCCGAGGTCCGGCAAATAAAGCGAAGCGGTCCTTTATCTCAAAGCGTACGGTCTTGTCGTTCTTCCACACATAGCCTCGGGAGTATTCCTCAGTACAAATGATGTCCAGCAGTGTGCGCTGGGACAGTTCATTCACTGTCTTGGGTTCCATGGTGAAAGCATCCAGGCAGTCAGTGGCATAGAACTGGTAAGGGGTCCAGGTACGTCCATAGTCAAGTGACTTCTCTAGGACCATCTGCTCTGGGCGGCCTGACTCAAATGTAATAACAATGTCATCAGTTAGCTCGATAGTCTTGTTCCAGGAGAGCGTAATGTTGACCTGCAGAGGTTTTGGGTATTTTTTCCATGATGTTGATTGCCAGAAAGTAGTAGGATTTCGACCTTCAAAGTCAAACATCAGCTCAGGAGGATGAGCAAGCTCCTCTGTTGCAGCATCACATTCATTGTTGCACATATAAGGATTCTCCTGAATGAAAACAGAACAAGAACAAAAGTGAATTATATCTCAATAAAAGATGGATCAGAATTAACCAAAGCAGCAGTGAATACAACAAAAAAAAGTTTGAAAGGTGAAACTTTTTCAACAATCCCCCAAAATATGTTGTCTATAGGAAAGAATGCTTTAAATGTAATTATGCAAAAAATGTTTAGGACTCTAGAACTCTTGTCAACACAATTCCTATTATAAGCCACTGTGTATGTCAGAATCTAGTAATGTCATTTCAAAGGCTGAGGGAGATGGTGACCCTTTTATTGTGATAACACTGTGAATACCATTTTTCTTATGAGCACCATTCCAACTCTGACTTTCCATCCAAATTGCCTATATAATTGATATTCTTGTGTGGTATTTCAGCAGGGATAAGAATGGAATCTTGATGAGCATTTCTTATGAAACACGCACAAGGACATGCATTTTTCATGGGCCCATGTTTGCTTTCTGCCGTAGACATCCAGAAAGTTCGGTTGTTTGTCTGAGCAAGTTTGTGGAGAGAAAGTAAGGCGTATTTCATGTGTTTGTGTTTGTGACAGGATAGAGTGCCTTGAATGTGTTTGCCCATACATATCCGTGTGCACATGCAAAGTTGGTATTTGTGTGTGAGGAGGTGTAAGCAGGATAGTAAAGAAAGAGAAATGAAGTGAGAGGGAGATATGAGTTAAGGCAATAGAACACAAGGCTTCCTAAAAATCACATTTCTTTTATTTTTTCTCCACAAACAATAAGGTTAAATGCTGAATAAAATCATATCTGAAAAATGTCTAAACAGGAGAAAGGCACTGCCTACCACTTTAGTCAACCCTTTTTGGATACAGTGGATTAATCCCAAACTATGACTTTATTAAGGAATGTTCCATATTTCCTGTGCTCCGGTAAAAATCTCACATCAGAATTCTTACAGAATATTGGAATAATTTAATAACAAAGTGACCAAATATCCACTTTTAAAAAGTCTAAATTCCTCTATGGTAAATAATAATCACTGGAAAGAGCACATAATCATGTTTAGTATCCCACAGATTTGGCAAATGAGATGACGTAAACATTTTTGTTTGAAAGTAAAATATGAAAGTCTTTAAGATTTAATAAATGTTGCAAAAGTCAGAAATCTAATCCTGAATGATAATATAATATTGTACATAAGAGGACTTTAGGATTTATAAGAAATATTTTGCAGTAAATGATTTGAATATGTTATAATGTAAGTGCTTTCTGTGCAATTCCTATGCAGCCTTGTTTTGAGTATACATTGTTAAACCAACACTAAGAAACTTTCAACCGTCATAAAATATTTCCATAACTTTTGTGATTTCTGTCATGGCCTGAGGGCGTCTGTATCTCTTTTACTGGCAATAAGCAACTTTGATAAGTTGCTACAAATGTGCAAACTGCTTTACAGCATAAGTCACTTCCCCCTTTGCCCATTCATTATACAGATGGTAGTTGATGCGACTTAGTTTATCTGAGAGACTGTATATTCTTGCAAATTGTGCAGGATTGATATTCATCCAGTGCATCCTTCCTGCCGGGATCTATACATGTGTTTACTGTCAAATTATTGAGCATAACAGTTTCAGGCTCTGAACACATCAGAACATCTGCTGATTGTGGAGGGATGGGGAATGGATGAGGTTGCGAGGCTGCAGAAATACGGTTCAAAACCAAAGTAAAATTTTTTTTTTTTTTTTCAACGTGATAGGAAATGTTTCCGCCGAATTTGAATCATTACCTTATCGCTATTCATTTTGCACACAGCCACTGAAAACAGAAACGTACTGTAGATCTATCCAACCATGCTGGTCCTCACGGAAAATGTTATGTTCCCTCATGGAAAACAATACCGAATTTTTGCCACTGGAGCCAAAATCTGTGACAATCATGATTATGATACAAGTCTGTCTGCCGCTTTTTATGGAAACCTGTTCTAGTTAGCTCTGGTTATTTGGAATGACGAGTGTTGAGATCAAAATTCAGTGATATTAAAGGAGCGACTCTTCTCTGACGTCTCACCTCTTCAACAAGTTTATCAAAGGAGACAAGTCCTATTCAACTTCCTGTTGAATAGGACTGTGTACCCTAACAAACCAAAAACAGAAAAAAAGAGATTTTAAATGTGTGAGGAAAGGGCAACAGGGAAAATGGTGGCCCTCTGAGTTTTGCCACAATGACAATAAATTGAACTCAAGTCTTTATTTTACTGACAAGTCTCTAAGGGTCATTGTACTCCCACCTTTAGGTCTGTTAGAGACCTTCATGGTACAGAAAACAAGGAAGACCTTGACATTTTGAGAAGCACTGATTTCCGTGTTGTTGTTCAGGAGCATGCATTTTCATTCATTTGTTTCATTGAGTTAGGTTCGGTTTTGCAAAAACAGTGGGGTGGCTGCATTTCTATCAGCCAAGCAAGGACTCTCATTCACTGATGCTATAAAGTGAGTGACAACAACATCAACGGATAATAGGTAAACACTTTTCTAACAAAACACTGAGAAGAATAAAATGCAGCATGAAGCAACAAATTTTCACATAAAATGTCATGTTTGTAAAAAAAAAATAAAAATAAAAAGAAGACATGGGTTTCTGTATTTAACATCTTCTTTTTGCTGTCGCCTACATTACCTTTAAAACTGAAAACAACATATTTTTATAATAGAACTTTCAATGCATGGTACCTATTTGCTACTTCCAGCTTAAACATATATTTTTTTATTCGTTATGAAGTCCAGTTTAGGTGAAATTGGAGATTTAGTGAAATGTCAGTACCTTTTAGCAGATATCCTGTGGCGGTTATTTAACAACAAAAATAGTGCCCTATAAAGATCAATATCTTCTATGGTCATTTAAGACCAAGACCTTCAGTGCTCTGCCAGGGGGCAGCTATTGGAAAACAATAAACCCTCTCAACTTGATCCTTTACCTGTGATCATGGCTGTGGGAGATGGAAAATCAGCAGAGGATGTGAAAGAACCTAGAATTTTGGACCGAAATGAAATATCGACCTACGGAAAAATAGACTTGACCTTATAAATAAAGAGCTGGCATGTTTCGGACTGCTGCTGAAGGATTAGGTAAGCATTTCTTAACACCAAGCAACATGTTTATGATGTTATTTTGTTATTGTGAAATAAACCTAATAAAATGTTCAGGGTTTCCTGTGAACATATTTATACTCGTTAATTCTTTTTATCTTATGTAGGAAGGTTTATCTTTTTTTATGTAAGAACCTTAAATAAGAAAATCTAAAAGCATTTCATGATGATGTTTAAGCATTGATCAACTAAAACCTCAGTCCTATTTAATACATTAGAATAAAAGTTCAGATCAGGCTGGTTTTTTAAAATAGCCTCAATTCAAATAACCTTTTAGCAGGTATTAACTATACTTTGATGAAGCTCATGTCTGTATTATTAAAGGTTTATTTCTATGTTTAATATTAAATGTTGTTTTTTCACCATCTGAAGCAGGAAATCCTAATAACTAACAGAAAAAAGTTTTGAAAACATCAGTATGTGTGAAATTAATCCACATATTGTTTTGTTTGGTGAATCGAGCTACATAAATAAATAATCTATTAAATAATATTATAAATTGATAAATATCATAAACTGCATTACCAGATGTTCCTCCCATCATGCACCGGATTCCTTTAACTCTTCATATGTTGAGCGACGTTGTTCATATTGTATTTTTAAGTGGATTTACTGATATTTATTAAATAGTGTAGCATCACATTTTAATAATATAATTGTAAAAGTAAATTGTTTACATTTTTTTTGTTTTGTTGTTTGTTGTACTGGTTTTCTCAATGCGATCACTAGCATATCATTTACAAAAACAAATAAAAGGAAAATAAAGTTGCAAAGTAACTGATTAGAACATCTACCTAAAATCCCAAAATAATTAAAATAAAATCTAGAAACATAGCAGGTCTGATAGAAGTAATGTCAAAGCAGTGATGACCTGGTATTTTACATATAGAGTTATCCTAAAAACCGCTTTATATTCATGTTTGATAATATTTACAATAACACTTTTTAGGTTAGAGCTTATTCAGACCCTTTTTCAAACCCATTTTTTCTACCACTGAGGGTATGTAAATGAATAGAAATTATGCAAATGTGTTTACATCTTGGAATAGTTGATCGATCAGATACAAATGATGCAGACGTTTAATCCGTATGTATCATCTGTTGTCTGCAAATACTTGAATGGGCCATTGGAATAAAAACAGTAGCAATTAAGTCACCTAAAAGACATAAATAGCAGGGGGAAAAAATCCATTACCTGTTGTAGTTACCTGTAGTTGTAATAAAATAGTGAATATAGTACCAGATAGAGAATAGTTACCAACTTATTAAGATAGGAATCCTTGTCACAAAATATTTTCCTGGAGGTTTTCCATAACATTATTTTCAGAAAATTATCACAGATGACAAAAATATCTTATAATGATATGTTATGATAAAAAAGGCTGCAACTTAAAGCAACTTGATTAAGAATGTGTTTTAAGAATTATATGAAAGGAGTCCAGTACCTTACATAAGCACAACATATGTGTAAGGTGCACGAAATTACTAAAACAATCTTTGCACCTTCTGAAACTGTTAGAGGAGCTGAGGAACAAAACAACACAATAGACTGTACTGTGGGCATATTTGCACGTGTAGTTATAGTAGCTAAGTCTGCGCTTTATGCTCCACAGTAATGATTAGCTCTCAAGAGTATGTCTGTTCCTGCTCTCGCTACTTAATAAACTATATGTGTCTGATCATCCTCTGCCAAGCATAAAAAATCCTTTGTTTAACCATCAAGATTTTATTTCTTCTAGCTCACAAGAGGTGGTACTGAACATTCTTTCATTTCTAGTAAAAGGAATCCCTGAATTATATCCAAAGAAAATATTTAATTATACTACTTATTTTTGGATAAAGACCCAGATGAAAAGGTGCATAGATCTTCATCTCTCA